AGGGAAATTTGACACAGCTCTAGAACATTCACAAAAAAGGGACTGAAATCTCTGCCAGCTGTAAATCTATGATCTTATTGCCTGTATACTCTTCCAAGGATCTCTTATTGATAAAAATATTTGATTCAATTTGACAAGCATTTCTTAAGTGACTACTATGTGTAAGGCACTGAGCAGTCCTGACCCTCAAGGTACTTATGTTCTGTAAGACTATATGTAGAATAGCAAGAAAAGTCTTGTCTTTGGGATGTGGGAGTTGAGCAAATATTTAGATAGGAATACCTTACCACCATGGAAGACTGCAATATGGAGAACTGATCTGCAGTGACCTGAGCCCTTTGTAATCTTACCCACAAGATATGTGTAGAAATGGCTTAAGTATGGCAGGCCATACCATATTTAGATTCCCATGGGTATGATCCATTTATTTGTTATTAATATTCCCTCCCCCCCAATCTGTGACTGTTGTAGACTTCTGAATACACAATTTAGTGGTCTAATAATCACTAGATGATGAGCATTGGGCAAGGATGCTATAGAAAGGATTCATATACCAGCTAGGAGATTGGCAAGTTAACTTTTAATGTTTCTTTCAACTCTAAGAATCAATGAAAACAGTCTATTCTTTTCAGTGAAGGGATAGACCTCTTCCTTCTTAAAGATTTATTAAGCATTCAGATTTAGTATATATTGTACAGAATAAATTAAACAATGGCAAATTGAAAGGACCTGGTCCATTCTGTGTCTTTTTGCCCATGGGACTTCTCCAATTTACACATGTATGTGTGTGTGTATGCATACATACATATATACACATGTATATGTATATTTTATGCATTTTCCTCCTTTTATTTTCTCAGGTGATCCAGGTCCAGCAAGCTATGGGAAAGAAGGACGGGATGGAGAACGAGGCCCTCCAGGTCCTGCAGGAATTCCTGGAGTCCCTGGCCCTCCTGGCCCTGCTGGTCCCCCTGGTTTCTGTGAGCCAGCCTCCTGTACGGTACAGGCTGGCCAGCGTGCTTTCAGCAAAGGGCCAGATCAGTGACAGGCCTAGTGTCTAATCACTATTTCCACAGATAACTGATGGCAAAGGGAAAAAACTGAGAAGCAGTACACAAAGCCGCTGAATAAGCGGAAGACTTTCATTATTGTTTTTAACATTATTACAAAATTTGTACTTGACAATCAGATTTAGAACAATGGTGCTATACAAGAAGATTTTCTGTCTTTTCCTCAAGAGGAAAAAAAATGGCAAGGTTAGCAAAACCAGATCCCTTTAAATAAAGACACATCCCTGTTACCAGCAGCCCTAATTTATAGTGTGCTATATATATCCATGATACTGTATCTTGGGCCCCTGAGCCAATAAACAAACAAACAAAAAGACTGGTTTCCCTCAGTTGCAGCAGTTACCTTCACCATCTAGTTAAGCCTTATTCTCAGATCACCATTCCAACTCTTACAGAGATGGCTGACAGAATGCTTATGAAGACACCTGCTACGTTGACTTGATATGGTGATGTAAATCTCTGTCAGTGTATTATTGCTAGATGGGCATGGTAAGCACTGTGCCATGTTGAATGGCTTCCATAAATCGCATGTGGGTTTTCATTTTGGGCTATGGTTTCTGGTGATCCCTATTGTTTCGGGAAATTAATTCCACCTTGGTTCCTTCTGTGAAAAGTCAAAGCAGCAGGGCCATGAGCCACTGTTAATAGAGTCATGATGTCCAGGAATTCATAAGCTTTGTCGGTCAGGTTATTTATTTTAAAGGTCTAAGTAACATGCTCATTGTACCAAAAAAAAAAAAAAATAAATACAGTTTCTTAACTCTGCATGTTTTCGTATCAATAGTCATGGTCAACTAATAATTGGCATTTATGTAATGCTTTAAAATTTGAAAGCTATATCTATATCTAAGTATCTAAAGCAGGGGTAGGGAACCTGTGGCCTCAAGACCATATGTGGTCCCGTAGGTCCTCAAGTGTGGCCCTTTGACAGAATCCCGAGGATTCATGTGGCCTCGAGGTTGCGGGTTCCTAATCCCTGATAAAACCTCAATGAAAAGAAACCTTGTGGCATAGTGGATAGAAAGCCAACCTCAGTCAGTAAAACCTGGGTTCAAATCCCACCTCGGACACCTTGTGGCTGTGTGACCTTAGTGAGTCACCAAACCTCTCAGTGCTCAATAACTCTCTAAAACGTTAAGTTGCAGAGAATAGTTGCCTATCTGCATTGGTAGAGCAAATTCCTTCACCTGTGAGCTCCCCATGTAAATATTTGTTATAAGGGCTTTGTTTTTATTTCTTTTTTCAATGGGGGATGAAGAGGGAAGAGGTATGAGAGAGAGAAAATAGATGTTTGTTAATTGAAAAATTTTTTTTAAAGTAAAAGTAAAATTAAAATCAATTGATGAAATAACAAATCCATACCAAAAAAATAATATGAATGCAATGAACAAAAAGGAGTGATTCACTCAGATCCCAGACCAGACAGGCATGAAGGGTTGTCAGTTAGGCAGTCAACACGTATTTCTTAGTTCTTAATATGTACCATACACCATACTAAATCTTGGGGCTAAAAAGGCAGGTAATGTCTTGCTCTCAAGGGGCTTACATTCTAATGGGGGAAACAACATGTAAATAAATAGGTATGTATAGCATATGTACAGAATAAATGGAATATTTATTCTTCTGAAAAGGGGAGGTACTTGAATACATTTTTCCTGAAAATGATGACGTTCCGGGGATTTCTGTATTCCGCACAGGTGACAACTAACGTCACTATTCCTTTGTAGTGACAGAAATGAAATTCCTTTCTCCATTTCTATTTCCTTTGCTGTAGCCTTAAAGTATAAAAAATAAAGACTTGGAGGAGATAAGACTTGTTGAGAAGCTATTTACGCCAACACATGCGTGATCTGTAAGGTCATACTCAAAACTTGGTTGATGAGAAACCATTTCCAAGCTTACCTCTTCTCATTAAAAAAAAAGTTAACTAACTACGAGGCAGCTGGGTTGAAGGGTGGGCGCTCCTTCATCTCCTAGAGACCTTGTTATTTGTGCAATCATATTGTTTTGATTTTTCTCCCAACATCTCATATGAACTTATCATTTTCATTTTATGTCACACAGAAGTTGAGATACTTGGTCCCAGGGTATATAACAATAGATCAAAGCAGTCAGGGTCTTCAGTTAGTCTGTAAAACTCAATTCTCTTAGATTGATGGGGAGAACTAATAATGTATTGCAGTGATATATATGTGTGTGTGTGTGTGTGTGTGTATTTTCATATGCTATTCACTGGCTAAAAAAAAAATTCACCTGCATTTGTTTAGCCGAGTCAATCATCTAATCTTCTTATATTCTGTTTGGATTTTATCAGTACTGCTTGATGAATCTAATTTGTTGGAAAAATGCTTGAGCATTACAGTGCTCATTTGTCTGTAGAGATCAGTGCATTTTGCAGAGACTGCCAGCAAGGAGGCCACCTTCCCTTTCATGCTCTCTTCTCTTCTGTCGTATACCAAATAGTAAATAAATGTGTACGAAATATAGGCTTCTGGTGGAACTTCCCTAGGACAATGGTGGACTACTTCAGATTGTATAATCCGTTATCAATTTAATAACTGCCAAGAAATTCCATTCTTTTTTTCACCAAGACACTTTTATTTGAACTACAGTGAGATAATCAAATACACGAAAATAAAAATTAGATAACCAAATAAACATTTCCCCCAGTTGTAATAACAGTCATAAGAAAATAAAGAACAAATAAATGCATTTGGAAAGTATATATTTAATCCAACTACTTTTCAAACCAGATTTCTATTTTAAAATACTGTGTTTGAAAATTTCACAGCTAAAGTGAGCAGTATTGGTTAGGAAATGTGTGCTTTCAAATAGAATAAGCAAAATGAACACATTCAAAAGAGTAGGAACAATACATTGTAAATTTCAGGAAAGTGGATTAGCTTGCAATTATCACTAGGGTATCATAAGAGTTTCTATTGAATTGAAATGCAAAGAAAACTGCCCAGCAGCTTCTTTACCTGGAGGAATTGAGGAATATGAGATTAAATCATGTATCTAGCTTTTTCAAGGTATGAATTCTGCCTAATCCAAGAAATAACAATGAGATGGAGGGACTATCTTTTGGGGTAGCAACTGAGAGGGGGGTCAGGTAAGCAGAGCTGGCTGGAAACTGGCAAGTTAATGAATGAAGTTCATCTCTGAGTCTCTTCCAGGGTGAGTTTCTCAGGTCTTATTGATTTTTGTTCCAAATATTACACCATTTAAGACCACTTACTATGCAAATCACTGTCCAGTTAGACTGGACAGTGATCTTAGAATTTGGGCAGGAAGGAGATAAATAATAAGCTTCATGGGAAGTGTAGTTATGGGCATTTTTGTTCAATTTTTTGGGGGGGTAGGGGATGAATAACTGAACAAACATTCCCATGCAGAAATATCATTGGGTTGAACCTGGTTTCTGCAAACCTTAAAATTAGTTTCCTCCAAATCCTCCTTTTAGAAGATACTTTTGTGTGTGTCTTTTTCTACCTCTGATAATACCTGCTCCACCCATCTTCTAAGGTGAGTATGAGAATAAAAAATGAATTCCTGTGAAAAACTTAAAAAGCTCTATATAAAGGCAAGGTTGTGTCTGTTATTTTTATTACTTTGGAATGGCTTTTAAAGTATTTGGTGGCGGCCCTGGAAAAGGCAGGCCAGGTATGACATTAATTCTATGGTATTGTTCTTTTGAAAACTATACCATTTTAAGGCCAACCCTTTTGTTTAATATATGAGGAAACTGAGACCCAGAGAGGTCAAGGGGTTAAGTGACTTGCCCAAGGTCAAACAATTCCATAGTTGGATGAGAAAATTCCATCAACTTCATCAATACAACAGTTACTCACAGGAAAAGCTGAGATCCTAAATGGCTAGTAGACACAACTAATTTGAAATCTACTCCTTTGATACATTTGTATTAGAGTAAATTAGATTAAGTCTTTATTGTTTTTAAGCTAATGGAGGAAAAATATCCAAATAGCTTTCTGGTATGTATTTTACCTTTTGGGTGGCTAGGTGGTGCAGTGGATACAGGGCAGAGCCTGAAGTCAGGAAGACTCATCTTCCTGATTTCAAATCTGGCCTCAGATGCTAGCTGTGTGACCCTTGGCAAGTCACTTAACCCTGTTTACCTCACTTTCCTCATTTTTAAAATGAGCTGGAGAGGGAATTAGCAAACCACGCTAGTATCTTTGCCAAGAAAACCCCAAAATAAGATCACAAAGAGTCAGACATAATTGAAATGACTGAAAAACCAAAATTTTTACCTTTAAGTTGCTTGGGAGGAACCATAGGGGTTGGGGATCATATCTATCTGTATTCTGACTAGGCCCTAATGAAATTCAATATTTGATAAAGACAAAATTAAGACTGGATAATTGTACCTAGGAATAACTTCACGTATTCAAGTAGCCTTGAAATTGCTGACCAAAGAAAATGTCACAGATTTGTTATACCTGGTTTCTAAGAGAATAATGTCTGAAATTGTTTTTGCTGTTAGTATAAGTGGCTTTCTATGTTGGCTTCTTCTTAAAATGAGACCTTTATATTTAGTTCTTATTCCTAATTCTTGTCTCTCAGTAGACAGATGATAATAAAGAATGATGGTGCCACATATTTAATTTCTTCTGTGAGGTTATTTAAACTCATTCTCTCTCCCCTTCTCTCCCATGCACAGTTACAGGGCTGAGAGGGTCTTCAAAGACCAGTACATCTTTCTAGACAAGAAAACTATGGCCAAAGTTAAATGACTTACCCAAGGTCACACAGGATGGTTAGTGGGATAGGACTAGATTCCATCAAGTTTCCTGCCTGGCAGTACTTATTATGCCTTTTCACATGCTAACACTTTGGTTTTTAGTTGTTTTCATGTCTTAAATAATATGACAAATATGACATGAAATTAGAGTATACTGAAATATGCCCTGAATTGTGTGGGAAACCATATGGAAAAATTTGGTGTATGTTCCAAGAGTTAATTTGGAATTTTTTTCAGTTTGTTTAAGTCCCTCTGCACTAGGTATTCTCAAATAGCTTTTTGGTCAACAGACTGCTTCAAAGATTCCTTACTCACCCACGTCTGACGACCATTGCAAAACACAAACCTCACTCAACTCAATGGAAAACTGGGAACTATTTTTGGTGCTTTGCCTAGTGAGGTGGGATCTTTTATTGATGCTTATAAGTGACACTTGTAACCAAAACAAAACTGTAGCCACTGTTGAGTTTTAAACATTAATTTGACAAGAAACCATAGCATGGACTTCCTCATGGACCTTCAGTAGATCCTGGAACATATTTCAAGAGTCACTGATATAGAATTCTAGTAAGAATGGAGAAAAGCTCTGTACTTCAGTCAGCGACAGTAGGTAAGAAATAACTTTATTGTTAACACCCTCCTCTCCTTAAAGTTAGTCCCACATTTAGGGCAAAGAGGCAGTGAGGTATAATGAAAAAGACTTGGCCTTAAAGTAGGGCAGACCCAAATTCAAATCTGGCCTCTGATACATAATAGCTGTGTACCTCTGGGCAAGTCCCTTAACCTCTCAGTGCTCAAGGTAGCTTTTTAAGACTATAAGTGATAATAATTACTACTACTACTACTAACAGCTAGCATTTATATAGAGCTTTAAGATTCTTAAAATGTCTGACACATGTTAATTCATTGGAGCTAGTAAA